GATTCGAATTTTGGGAATTCGTCCTGCGAGAGCGAGTGAATGTTTGCCGGTGTGTGACAGTTGACGCCTCACAAACAGGCGGCTTCCGGTGGCCTCCGTGGGTAAATGGCGTAAATAGGAGCTGTAATTCGATCGGCGAAATGCACATAATTAGCCAGCGACTTGCCGGGCTTGCACTTTTCAACTCGATTTAGTCGACAGGCGACTCGGGTGAAATCCGAGGTCGCCGGCATGGGAGACATTGTTTGTGTGTTATTGCATTAATTTACAACAATATGGCGCGTAATGAGATGGAATTTGATTATGCCATTGTCGACGCGATTCGGCACTGCAACTGGAGCCTAATGTCATTTCACACCACTCGGTAAGTGCCTGTGTGTCGTAATTACCAGTTAAACGGCTTAGGCTCATTTTGCAGCGGCTGGGAAATTGTGCAGGAAGAAGAATTCATTGAAACTATTTAATAATTAAGGATTATTGTGACAGACAAAAAACTCTACAGGACCAAATGAATTCTAATCGCCAAGGAAAGGGAAAAACTGCTCTACAGTGTCTGAAAATGTTATAAAACAAAGTAATTCCTTTGAAATTTGAATAAATCAATGCGACATGTCAAGCAAGTTTCTTTTTTAAACCATTTATTCTTGATAAAATTGCTATAAATCCTAAATCAGAGCTAGTTTTTTGATTAATTTGCATTTCTTTGAGTATTATACATTAATACAAAATAATCATATTGACCATTCAGTAATGATAGTGCTATTTTTTGTTCAATGCCTGCCATTGAGACCATAAAACATTCGCAGCTACACAACTGTCAGTTGATTAAAGCACCTAAATCGCATATAAAAGCGACAGTACAATAAAAAAGACGCAACGCTGATGAGCCTATTATAGTGACAGCAATTGCAGGACATTATGTGTATGTAGGAAGAAAGGAAGTCAACATCACCCCCCCTCGACAACCCTCTGACTACGCACTAAAACACAAAACACACTCACTCGCACACAACTGCTAAAAAATAAAGTCCATAAAAAACCCAGTAACATCGCGTTGAGCAAAAATTGCCCACATTTGCGGCGGCTGACCAGCGGCCGTAACGACAGGAACAAGGATAATGCGAAGAGGACACTGGCAGCAACAGCAACCACAACAGCAGGCGCCGGCGAATGGGAAATAAAATAAATGTGCTAAATGGATAATAAAGTACAAAGAGCGACAGGCATAATGTCCAAACTGACACTCGAAGGCGAAAGGAAAAAAAAACGAACCACAAAAATGGCAATCCTTGTGGGTTCTGTACGAGTGTTTGTGCGAGTCCTTTTTTAAGCGTAATTTAACTGTTGTGGCCATTGTATTTAATTGAACTGTCAACAAAAATAGATAAACATAATGGCAAGTGAGGCAGAAAACATGTCGGTAGAAATCAGGGGAAAAACACAAGCTGTCTATATACTTCTTACTTCTTATCACAGTATCAATATTATTATTATTGATATTATTGTTATTTAAAAATGAAAATAGTTTATATATATTTGAGATATCAGTTTCAATATATTTGTTTTTAAAAACCCTTTTTTATTGTACAGTTTTTCTTACAAACATCTTAAAATATAATTTAAATGTTGTCCCATTGCTATTTTAAATATGTTTCCATATATTAAAATATTTGCTAATATAAAAATTGATGAAAGAAATATATATATCCATACTTTTAAAGATATTTCCAAAGCTTCAATCTGCGAAAGATAGAAAGAAGTTTTCAACATTATTGTCTGTAATTTTCAAATTTATAGTCCTTGGAATAATACTTATTTTACTTAAATTAAATATTTCTTCGTCTACTTTTTTCCCTGTGCACAACTGACACAAATAGTGGGTAAACTTTGCGCTAAGCTGCGCCACTTCAGGCCCAAAAAGGCTGCAATTAAAATAAGTACCCGCCGCTTGGCTTTCCCAACTGCTGCACAGCCAAGCCATAATGCTGCATAACCCAGGGCCTAAACAAAAAATGTTGCCAAAACGCTGCCATATATATATGTATATACTGTATGTAAGTAAGTCCTATGTGGTATATAAGCACATTGTGTTCGCAAGCTAATTAAGAAATTACTGCAGGCAAAACAGCGTCTGCCAAAAGCGCCAAAACCAGCCCCAGCTGGAAACCATCCCGGGGATTCTCCAAATTGGGCAGACCCAACCCCCACTTGGGCGCTATTTGCTGAAAACCACTTCACATATGAGAACGGCAAATGAAATTAACAAAAAGACCGAAAAAAGTTAGTAACGAAAGGGATGAGAGGGATAAGTATAGCCGAATATGCAATGAGCTAGCAGAGGCTCCAAATTAATAAATATATGTTTTATAGTTAGTTTTATGTAGAATTAAATAAGCAATAAAATTGTATTCAATTTTTCTTAAGTATAAATAAGTTGTTTATACTTAAATTTATACAAAAGTAGAGTTAAACAAGGTATAGAATAGCTGAAAACTATAAAATAAGTGTAATATAGGTAAAAAATAAACCCCAACATTTTATAAATTCCATCTAATTACCCCCTCAACCTTATTTAAATTAAAATTTTATAAATTAGATTAAAATATTTCCAATTTCTCGCATTTTTAACCTTATAACCAATAGACTCACCAACTAACTGAGAGCAGGCCATCTCATAATCCAGCAGTCCCACTCACAACGACTCCCCAAATCCGCCCAAACAATTCACTTTACATATGAGCAAATGTGGCCAAAAAGAACCAAATAAAAAAAGATGGAAAGAATATAATGGGAGCCAAGCTGCATTCACAAAAATCAAGAGGCAAAAAGCCAAAAGCAACCAGCCAAAGTGCTCGTTGTCTGCCGAAACCTGCGAAGGCCCAAGTCTGGGGGCAGGCAATTTTTATAATTTCGCTACAATTTTGAGGCATTTTATGAAATGAATTGAAATATTTTTTCGCTCTGCTCTTTTTTCGAGCACATTTCCTCCTTCGGCGAAGAAAAGCCATCATCAAATCCATTCATGCGCTTAAATAAAATGCTCAAGCACTTGACTGCATCCATACAAAAATGTTGTGGGAGAGCCTTTCTGGGGCTGGGGAGTGCCGAATAAAAGGTTGCCTAATTTGTTCAGTTGGCTTTGGACAAAAAGTGCTGGAAAGATTGGCTAAAAACCGAAGGCTGAACCCCTTTTTTATGCTTTCAACAACAAAGCTTATCTTTGTCATTGTGGGGAAAATTCCCATTTTGGGGACGAAAATGGAAGGGATTTCACTATTGTTGGCCAGCGTAATTCTTGATATCCGATTGCGAATTGATTACAAGACAAGGCAATCCTTAAATCCAGCCTTCGGCCAGCGATTTATCAACGAAAATGAAATAAAAGCCAATAAACAAACGTTTTGCGTAATTATATGCCTGCACAAATACCATATACAAATATATATAGTACATTTATTTGTACAATAAAAACAAATCGATTTTAACGCCCGCCATTTATGCGCAGTCGTGTGAACTGCAACACTCCACACAATCGCCTATAATTATGACGCTATATGTACATATATATCTGTCTCTGTATATCTGCTGAATCACAGTTATGCCTGCCTGCGTTTGGTAATTCAAACTTGCCGCCGATGCCGTCGCTTGTTAGGCATGGCGAAAAAAGCATTTTATGCATTTTTATTGCCATTTATTTGCGGCGCGAGCAATTCGCAATTTATTTTGCAATTTAACACGCGATGCGAGGAGCAGAGCGAAAACCAAAGCGGCCCAAAGGACCTAAAGCGGCGGCAGGAAATGGAGGCTCGACGCGACTAAATTGCAACAAACTGCACAATAAATGGCAACTTAAAACGCCTGCGATGCAAATAAAAACAAAAAGCGCCAACATGCATTGCAGCAATTGTGGCAAGAGCTGTTGCAGAGGCATTGTTATTGTCTGTGTACGGCTATTATGTGCAAATGCACTGGAAAAAAATTGTATTTAAAATGTATTATCTTTAAGATGTATTAACAAAAATAATAGTAAAAGTCAACAGTATTTTAAAACTATCCCAGCAAACAAGGAGCGAACTTGGATCCAAAAAATGTCCGCTAAAAATATTAAATACGGACAATGAATCGGACTTTACGAATTAGTTTCGCTAAATGCTCAAAAACGGACGCGCAAACGGACGAATAACGGACGAGTATCGCGAATTCTCAGGATTATACTCGCTTGAAGCCCTCAAAACTATCGTTTTCAATATCATAAACGAAGGTTTTTGTTTGCTGCGACTCTTCTAAGTAAGCTTCTTTATTAAAAATCCAATTTTAATGCCTTTAGAGTAAATAAAACTTATATTTTATAAAGGAAAATGTTTTTTTTTTAAATAAATACATTTTAAAATTAATAAATGTCAAAGATTTTAATGTTTTTCTCACTGCAGGAATCCTACCGCGTTTATTTGCGTTGGCAATTAAACGTAAATAAGCGCTTGCCATCGCTTTCAAGCAAAATGGCAGGGATATAGCCGTGGAAAAACATTTATTACAAATGCCAGCAAATTGCCACACAACGCCAGGATGCAATCACAGATAGAAGGATGAGTCCTGGGCAAGATTTCGATGCAGAGACAATATATTTTGTGGACAGATGCTTGAAAGGGTCGACTGGGCTCACACAAAAAAGGGGTTAGGAATCCTAGCTTAGGATTTAAAACTGTGAGAAGAATGTTTTCAGGAAAAGGTATTTATTATTTACATTTTACTATTTTAATAAAACCTCTTCTTTTTTTTTAAGATTAAAATTGCTCAAATTTTAACCTCTCACGTTAAGAAATAAAATATAAATACTTACCCTGAGAAAATATACATAGTAAACACCAAAAATAAAGTCAATTATAGAGTTTTCTTTTGTTTTTCAATATGTTTATATAATTTATTAATACTTTTTATATGTATAATTTGTAATTTGTTATATTTATAAGCATTCCATTTCATGTCTGTGAACGGGCGTGTGTGTGTGTACGTTGTGAGTTGGTTTTGGTTTCAGTTGAAGTTTGGATTATGTTAACATTCGATTAAAAGTATAAATAATTTAACTAATTATTTGGTAATTGCTTGACCCACGCATAGCCCTTACGAGTAGGTCCTAAACACTAAACATTCATTGCCAGTTTTCCCGGATTTCCCCAGGCTGTTGGCTTAGCATATATCGAACTTAACTTACACTTGACCAGCAATTTAATATTATTCCAAAAGCCAAACAAAAACCGCATGAAAAATTAAGCACCCCACACTATATATGTAGGTCTTAATGGTGTATGTATGTACATGGAGTGGGATATATGTATGTATATTTTAAAGCCTAAACTTATTGAGCAAGAGACATTGACATTTACAAGGAGCGCTGAGTGGCCAGTATTTACAGGGGTTTATAGGAACAAACTATCGAAAAGTTGAAACCAATTTATGTGGCTCTTAAGCGGATCAATCTTGATCTTAGCCTCTACTTCCGCCTGGCCACTTGGTTGAATTTGGCTCAGTAGACCTTTTGGTTGATGGATTTATCCACGGAGGCGGTGACCTCCATGTGCTGACCGGAGTTCTCTTTGCTTTCCAGGCAAAGACCGTTCTTGGCTTGCGAGGGCGTGGCTGATGAGATTGGCGATCCGGATTCCTGCTCCTCGTCCGCCTCCACATCGATGGCAGCATCGTCCTCGTCGTCGAGGTGGCTTCGCTCTAGTTCCTCATCGGAGTCCTGGAGCTCTCGTTCTCGTTCTCGTTCTCGCTCTCGCTCCCGGAGATCCCGCTGCGGCAGGTGCAGGGTCGGCGGCCCCGTCGAATGCGACAGCGGGGTGGGCGGCTTCAGCAGCGACATGGGCGCCGCCAGGCACCCCACGCCCTATACCAGCGACGAGAGCGGCGGTCGCGGTGGGCTGGTGTTGCGTGCCGCTGCCGCCGCATAGTATTGCATCGGATGATGGTGTGGCGGCGGAGGCGGCACAAATCCAGCCGTGGTCCCGTCATGGTAGAGCACGGGCACCCGCACCAATCGCTGGGCCGCATGCGCCATGTTAGCCATATTGGCAGCCTCCAGTTCAGCGGCCAGTTGTCGCTTCCACTTGTTCCGGCGATTCTGGAACCAGATCTTCACCTGCGTCTCGGTCAAACGCAGCGAGGCCGCCAGTCCCGCCCGCTCCGAGGAGCTGAGGTAGCGCTTCAGATCGAAGGTGGATTCCAGCTGAAAGACCTGAGCCCGCGAGAACACCGTGCGGGTCTTCTTCTTGCGCTTCGACCCATTGCCGTCGCCGTGCGGCGAGGAGCTGTCCGAAGGACCGTCGGTGCCGTCATCCTCCTCGATGATCTCCTCGCCCTCTTCGTCCGATTCGTTGGAGCTGCCGGGCAGCAAGTATCCGCCATGTGAGCCAGCCAGGTGCGGATGCGAGTGCGGATGGTGGGCGCTGCCGCCGCCGCTGCTGCTGCTGCTGGTGGGCGTGGTGGGCTGGTGTGGATGCTGTTGCTGCTGTGGATGCTGTTGCTGCTGCTGTGCTGGCTGCTGCTGTTGCTGTTGCTGCTGGTGGTGGGGATGGTACAGGGGATGCAGCGGATGGTGCGAGGGCGACTTGCTGGCCTGGCTGGCGTTGTTGTTGGCAGTGCTGCTAGTATTGTTGTTGTTGTTGTTGGGACTCATGGAAGTGGGTGAGGGGGGATTCTCCGTTGTGTTTGTCGAGGAACTGTCTGCAAAGAGAGAGAACGAGAGAGAGAGGAATTAGAGAGAGAGAAACTTAGAAAGAGAGAGCCTCAAAATTGTATTAGTTGATTTGTCAGTCTCAGTGGGTGGTTTTTGGGGCGAGGGTGGTTCCTTCTGGGGGTTGCTGCCCCAAGTACGTATACGTACGTACATATATCTGTGCAGATTTAAGCTGCAACACTTAACCTCACACTTGTCGCCCCAGCGTTTTTATCTTTTCCACTTTTTTTTTTTTTGCTTTTGTCGTCATTTTGCGATTGCTCTGCCTGCCCCTCACAGCGCAGACGCCGAGAGTATTTATTCCAGATATATATACACACATCGAAATATATATTTATATATATATATGTATATGTATATGGCATAGCCATACCGTGTGGGTGGACTTGTCTGCGCGTTAAATTACCATTTAAAATGGCTGTCAGTCAGCTTGGCCGATTTTCTTTTTATCGAAGCTTTTAGTTTTGATCTCATTCGAAAAGTTTAAATTGCCGTAATTTGCCTTGGATGGATTTGAGCCTGGAATTTTTTAAGCTCTTAATAGCCCCCCGCAGGCTATAAACTTTCGCCTCCCAAACTCCCGCCAGGATAGATGAAGGCTGATGGAGTTGGAGCTAGATGAAGTGAAGAACTTAAGGCCAATTTACATGAACAAATGCAATTGCAACGACTCTTAATGCCCAAAGGGGCCAATTAAGTGGGGCTTAAAAGGTCTGCACTGCGGCAGTTGCAGTTGCAGTTGCAGTTGCAGCTGCAGTTGCGCTCTCCACTGACTGAAGCGTGTCAAACGCTTTGTCCGTAACTCGATACTCGATTACAAATTGCAATTAATTGCAAATGGCGATTAAAGCAGCCGTCTCACTGGCTTCCTGTACGTGAGAGTGTGTGCGAGCTTAAGACATTTGCATAGTCTGCTTCTGGGGGCGAAATTCTTTGAGGCATTAGTCGCCGCCATTGACTAAACAAATTAACTGCAAGTCCACTGACAGAAATCTATTATAAATGAAGACATTTTGGGGAATAAGAAACCATAGGAATGGACTTTGCCATAGAAAATGTTACCTGAATTATATTTACATAAATAATTCATATATGTTTTGACTTCAAGAAAATCTTTGTTTATGAAAATTTACCAATTTCATTTTAAAAGTTTTTAAATTATTTTATTAATTAGTTATATTAATATATTTTTGTAAAATATTTAACCTTCAACAAATTAAAAATTGACAAACTTTATTTAAAAATTGAATACAATAAAAATGGAAATGGAATAAAGCGCACCTCATACACCTCTTTCAAGCCACAATCTTTAAGAAATAAAAATATTATAAAAACAAATATTAAATTTTAAATAACCCCATTTCGTTCAGTGAACAGTGAGGAATGTGCCTGACACATCGCATTCCTCGGCTAAATTAAAAGGCGGATGAAACGAATGCTAAGCCGCTGTGGCATGTGTTCAGCACAGTTCAGTTCAATTCAGTTCCGTTTAGTTGGTTTAGTTAGTTGCTCGTCTTAATTTTAGAAAAGGGTGCGGGATGGCCAACTCCGCTGGCTATTTTTAATTCACTTAGACTTACCATGAGTGGGACTGTGGAAGGGCAGCCGCTGGGGGGCCCAGGGCCATCCGGGCGGACACAGGGCGGCATAGCGACCAGCAAGGGCTCCCCACTGCGAGATGAAGCCGAGTCTGAAAGGAGAGAATCGAGGTATTGGTTAATAACGCCATCAATTATGCATTCTAACGATTGCTAGGCAAAATCAAGACGTGAAAAAAAAGCCTCCGAGATGCGGGCCAAACTTAAGAGGCCATTAGACATTTACCATTTTGCCGGCGGCCAAAAGTTGTTCGAGCTAAGAAAGTTCAAGCATCAAAGTTCGGTCGGAGGGGGGCTGGGGGGTAAGGAGGCTAGCGACCCTTAACAACCCCATAACTGACAACAGCTGTTAAGAATTTGGGCCACTCAACCCTCTGTTTGGAGAATATATATAGAAAATACAGGGGAAAAAACAAGAGACTGTGATTTATGACCTAAAAAAAAATGTGAGTTTTTATATTTATTAAGATAAGGTGTGATTTTTTACTTAAAAAGCCGTTCAAAATAACAAAGCTTTAAAAATAATATTTAATAAATGTAATACATTTTTTAAACTCTTTTTTAAGGGTGTGAAAAATATATATAACATATTTTAAAAGTGTTTCCTGTATGTTTAATATACAAAACCGCAAAGAATTTTCCATTTCGAATACTTTCAGTGTACAAGCATATACAAGTGAGTGGGTGTAACCTTGTTAACTTGCTGGCTTAAAAGCATCTTTATAAATACATTTTATTTATTTATGCTGGCAAGACGAAACACTTTTCGTTATAATGTGTTCTATATTCGCATCAAGGAAAGTTCCATGGGGGATGTTTTTTTGGTTTTCCCAGCCTGTGTCTTTGTCTGTGTCTGCGTCTGCCCTTCGTTTTCGGGCCATGTCAAAACAGACGGAATGTAATTGGCCAAAGTTGCTTTTGTCTCTCGACTGTGATTAATTCATTGGTTTTTTATTTGCTGCCTTTTAAGCTTCCCACGCACCCACTGAACTTTGGTGTTAAATGTAAGCCCAACGAATTGCAATTCTCACCGTTCTAAAATGCCAAGCCACATATGTATATGTATAGTGTGTACATGTGGGCGAAAGTATCTACCCCTTGGGCTCGTTTTCGCATTCTGCTTTTAACGGACTGTTGGGCTAAGCTCCCGGCCAAAACCCGGCCCCGTTTTAGCCCCCCTTTTCAGTATTGCCGCAAACTTTGACCGCTCGGGTCACCGACTGTGATTTCTTTTCGAGGGTGCAAGTGCAGCAACAGCAGCAGCGACGACTGCAACCCAAACCCACTCAGCGACAGACAGTCAGGGAGTGTGTGTGCCTGTGTGTGACATTAACATTTAGTTGACCTCTTTCGCTGCGGCCAAGGGTGCCGTCGGTGCAGGTGTGGAAATCAATAGCCAGGTGGGCCAGAGCCCACTCTCATCCACACTCTGAGTCTCTCTCTCTCTTGCCTTGCTCTACCCGGCAGTAATGATTTTCAATTAAGTTTACCCGGTCCTCAACTCGGGAAATTATGAGGACTCTTTAGGGGCTTCCCCAAGTTGGCAGCTCAAGTCACTTCTAATGGGCTTCATGTTTACAGCGTCAATTGAGAGAAAGCCGCTTTGGCTTTCGGCTAGTTTCGAGGCAGCCCGAAGCCAGACCCCAAACAGCCGCAGAAAGACCAAAATGGTAGGAACTCCGATCGGATTACTAGTGCACATGAAAGAAACAGGGCCTAAAAAGGGGTTTTTTAGTTGGGTAATTGAGAAAAGAATCTCTAGGGTTTTACTTTAAACGTAATAAAAGGGATGTAAAACATTTTACTGCCTTTATAAATGATTTTAACTCACTTTAGAGTTCAAATATCTTTACAATTAAACTCTTTCTAGGAAATAATCTAAATTATCGTCATAAATACTATACCCTTCTAAGAAATTTAAATAAAATTCCCTGAATATGAAGTTTCCCTTTCAAGTCTGTTTTTTTCTTATCAATCATTTAGAATCTCCCTTCTCCCCCTAGCGAAAAGTAAAAAGAAGACAAAAGAAATTACCCCAATTACTGGGCTAATTTTTAAAACAACCTTCGTCGACATGAAAAATGAAAACAAAAGCTTGTAGCTATTTGCTCAACTAATTACGCAAATCAAGAACTCGACTTGGGCTAATGAAATAAATACAAAATAAATCTGCCCGCGGCCAACCGCGGACGGCTGGGTATTCATTTCCATTTCCATTGGGCGGAAGTGGACGGCCATGTTTTTAGAAGTGGGTGCGGTGCGCCTGCCCCATTTAGAGGGCTCCAAGTCAGCCAAGTCACCCCCCGACTGTCAAATGGCTGATGAGGGATGCAGTTGCTGTTATTTAGCTCTTAATGAATTGTTTGTGGTTCTCGCTCTGGGCACCCATCATAACTCCCCGTCTTTGGAGCCCTTTTGTCGGAGGGATAAAAGTGTGCTATGCAATTGAGTTGTTTAACATGGCGTTCAACATTGGTTTTTCCTTGGCTCCCTTTTCCGCACGGTTTTCTTTTTGGTTTTTTCATTGAC